TTCTCTTTGAATAACATTAGGATGAGAGTTATAGAGGAAGGGTGAAACCAGTTGGGAGTGAAAGCCAGTCCTAGATGCTGCAGCTTCTGCAGCAGTTAGACAGGGCCACCAACTTGGCAAGGATGAGCCTACTTTCCCCAGATTTTTCCAGCTGGTGTTAACCCATTCTATGAGCTGCAGAACAGAGCTTCTGTTTAAAGATTCTTGAGCTTTTCTTCTTTCTTATTTAGCAAATGAGTAGAAAGAATGAACACATCTTTAAAAAAATACCTGATAGAATTTGGTTGAATAGCTCTTAAATGATAGTAATCATTTATTTAGTGAACAAGATAGTATTCTTCCTGCTCTTATTATTCCATGCTTTACTTAATAACGTAAAGAACCGTATTGTTGTCACTAGGAATCATTTTAAAGTCCCTTAATAGAGATGGAATGTCTCAGACATTAGCATAATGTCCTGAGCTGGCAAATCTTTTCTGTGGAAATATGGATGCCAGTGAGCAAAGAATGAAAGCTTTTGGAATATGTAGGCAATTACATCACATGATTTGAAGTATGCTAGAACATTTCCTTAATTGTCCTAAATCCTTTTGCCATCAGCTGAGTCAAAAATTCTACTAGTGAAGAAAAATATCTTTAGTTTAAAACTTTATTTTATATTAAAATTCTGTCTTCTTGATTTTGGGGGAGGGAATTTTTTCTATTATATATATAATTATTATTGGTAGAACTAATAATGATGAAAATAGAATCATGTGTCAAGTGCTTTGTTATATGTCAGTCACTGGGCCCAATTTTCCATACACCTAAGTCTTAATGAAGACAACAGTAAAGAATGCCCAGGTGCAGGAGATGTTCTTCTTATCCCCATTGCATAGTTAGGGGTATTACAGAGCAGTTTTAATCCCCACACTTTAGGCCACACCATTAGTGATTAAAGGCAGAATGTTCATCCCCAGAGCCCCTTTCTTTTGAGCATTGTGTGCCTTGTTTATTACCCTGTTTAATCATTTTGCATTGGTAAAGATAATGTCCTGTGAGAATATGAGAACATAAGAATATAATTAGAATGTAAGAATGTTCCTGCACTGGTTCATGCAGTCTCTTCCACCATTGTGTTTTGTCAATTAAAATCCTTTATAATCATCCTTTCAGGTCAGTTCAAATGTTACAGGCTTCAGGAAGTTTGCCTCAGTCCCTGCTATCCATCTCCTCTCATTGTTGGAGTTATTTCTTTCCCTGTGCATTAAGAGGCCGTGATCTGTGCCCAAATTATAGCACAGCACATTCAGCCTTACTTGATCCTGTCTATCCCATTGCTGAGCTTGTGTATTCGCTTAGGAGCATAAATTGTGTTTGTCATCTTTGAATCCCCAGCCCCTAGCTCTCCTACCTATTGTAGGTACACAAACAACTATTGAACATATTCTAATTTGTTCCTCAATATTGGGTAGAGGAAGTGCAATGTTTCTTGATCTTCTCTGAGCTACACCCACCTACAAGTGGAAAATTAAATCAGTTGGAAGTGCAGGGGAGAAAGGAACACACACACACACACACACACACACAAAGCTGGCAACAAGCACGCTAATGTCTGATGACTCTACATTTTTGCTAAAGAGCACAAGTTTGCTAAAGGAAAATTGTTAGTTTGTTTCTGTGGGGACAAGTGGCATACCAAAGAGATTAAATGACCGTATCTGGAGTGCTTTTAGGCAGAGGAGAGGGCCGCTCTAAATCTCAGTTCTCTAATTTGTTCTAAGAATTAGAATAGAAAATACCTGGCATTTAAAAAGATATTTTAGCTGTAATAGTCATAGTGTTTTCTTACTGCACAGATGACTATAGGCAAGATTCTTAGCTTTTCTGAGCTTGTTTCCTCACGTCTAATCTCCTCCTGGAGATTCTCATACTTAATTTTGAAAGGCACTGTTTATAACTGACACAAAGTATGTGCCTGATGCATGATTCTTGCTTCCCCTTTCTCTGGTCCCAGTGGAATATCCCTCAATAACTATTTTAAGCAGAGAAAAAACCAGTTATCTTAGGAAGAAGTTGCCCTTTTTTAAAATAGCAACATTTTACCTTGTGCTAGACTTACAGCCAAACTTTGACAGCTTGCTTTGCTCTGATTTTTTTTTTCTGATTCTCAATTTGTTTGTTTTTTAATGACAGCTTAACTAATTGTATCTTAGACAGAAGAAAAATATTGTTTAACACTCTGTTTCAATGGCCAAGGAATGTATATACCAATGTAACTTGGTTATATGACAGCATGAAGTATGGACTCTTCAGTCATAATATACTTCAACTCATGAAGTCACACTCTGTAACCTTCTTTCAGAGGCAAATCCAATTTGATTTTTAGTAACATGCTTCTGAAGACTAAACAGTAAAGTTCACAGAAAATTTATTACGTGAAGACACGATCCAACAGGGTCACTTTCTTTAACAAATAATGGCAAAATAAAAAAAAAAAAAGAGAGAGAGCGATTGTAAGAGTTCATTAGTTTCAAGGACTGTTTATACATTGTTAAAATCTTTATAAACCACTTTTTGGTGGGTAATAATGACCCTTTCATTTGCGGAATTTGGAGATAAAATGGTTGGTGTCTGGTGTGTCATAAAGGTTATGAACAGAATGGACATAGATTTGCTCATCAAATATCAGAGTACTTGAAAGTTTATATAACTTTATGGATTCCTAAGATGTTTGTAATAGAAACAAATGAGGATTGAGGCACATACCTGACCTTTTGAAGTTAACAAAAGTAAACTCAGTTCTCCCACAAAACATGGCAGAATGTACCTGTCAAAGTTAAAAATGTACAGGGTAGCCCATCTGTCTGGAAACAATCTCTTTTTAAGAATAGAAATGAAGTAATTTTTAAAAAGTGAAAACAATGATATTTTCTCTTGCATGTATAATTTGCAATTCTTAAGGGAGGGGGACCCCTATGTGAATTATAACAGATCTTCAAGGGAGGCTTTTTGAATAAATAAATGAATGGAAGGAAGAATTCAGGGAAACTTCAGCAATAGGAAAGCAAGGTGATCCTGTGGATCATTATGTAATATTTCAATTCATAAATCTTAAGCAGTGGCAGCAGTTCCAATTAAACCACTCACAGGTATTATTTTATTGCAAACCGGAATGATTGCCAATAAATTAAGAAGGTAAATGTTACAAAATGTTTACAAAAATTACATGAGGTATGTAATTTGAATGGGTAATTGATGCATGTTGACATTTGCTTTTGCTCTTTACTTTTAGTCATTTATTTAATTTGTTAATTTTATTTACTTTTTTTAAACCATTGTTTTTATACATGTTTTCTTTGTCTGCCTCCTGGGTGTATCTGTTGTCTTCAGGCAAAGCCCACATGTCGTGGCTGAGGATGTTGCCCCCACTAGGTTGCTGGTTACAGCAGCTGCTGGAAGAGCCAGTAGACTCGTCATCTGGGTCAGACTATTTGCTGTGTTCAAATGGACACTGCCTGTCTTTCACTGTCTTTTTCTCTAAAGAAAATATTAAATTTACTGAAAATTTGAAATTTAGAAAGGTTGGAAAGGCTACATAACACAGGACCTTAGATTTGGTGGTTGCATGTGGTACATGCAAAAAGCTGCTTAATTATGAAATGATGCCAGAGTGCTACTTGAACCATTTTTTTCTGGAAGAAAAATTCAAATTAATGGCAAAAAATTATCAATTATTGAATGCAAATTCCATGAGTTCACTTGTGTGTTTGTGGTATCCTTTAAGGAATAATATTCAAAAAAGAAGCTCATCATATAAGCAGTGGGCTTTGAAGGTCTCCTTTTACTTTCCTTTTAGTTTCCGAAGACATTGTGTCTTTTAGGTTCATTCCCAAGTATCCTTTGCTACGTTTTTCTTTGTAGCATTATCATCAATCCACCCAGACTGAGGCATGAGGCCTATGTTTACAAAGTACTAACCTTCATTTGGGCTCCCAGTCTTTCTTTTTGATCTTCATACCTGCTGTTACAGAAAAAGTCCAGCTCTTTAAACAATAGAGTTTCAGACAAACATCTGTCTCCCCTCAGAAGCGTTTCTTCACAGGCCAGATAGCCAGGAAGCCATTGAATTCCAAATCCAAGGTTGCTTCCCAGGACAAAGCATGAAGCCAGAATCTCAAATCTATAGTCTGTTCACATTTTCAAACAAACAGGGTTGCCTTTTAAGGAGAGGCTAGTGCCTCTGAAAAACTTCACTTAAGAATTAATTGCATATATGAATCAAAAACAGACTAATCAACAAGTAAATGTTGATTTTTTCATAGGCTCTTGGCAATTGTTATTATAATAGACATTAAAAGACAAATACATCTATCAGTCCATTTAAATCAGTGTTATTATCCAAATTGACTTGCAAACATTAAACATATCTTCCTACAAAACATAAATAACATACCCTGTTTCAGAACTTTTTGAAGGTCCGTGTGCAGTTGAAGAAATGTTTATTAATGCTTCTGGTACTTATCCAGATTTGAGTCAAGAAAAGTTGGCTTATTTATAAACAATGGTCCCCAAAAGTTGCCTTTCCGGAATTACAAATTCTACAATGAATCATCTGTATTGTCTGATGTATTTTCTAAATTTAGGACACAATTCATTATCTAAATCCTTGCTTATTTCAAGACTTCTGCCCTTAGTTCTTTAATGTGTAAATATAAAATGAAAAGTCCCTAAATGCAAGGCACGATGTAACATGATAAAAACCTCTTTGTGTTAGAAAATTACATGTCAGAACCGGGTAATCTATAATACCAATTAACCAGCAATGATAATTGTAAGTTTTTAAGAGCTAGCAAATGTGTTGCTCTTTCTCAGAGATGACTCTTTTTCATATACTTTTGACATTTTTCCCCTTTATTTTGTAAAGTCTTCTTTGTGAAAGACACAAGACTATTTATAACAATAGATGTTTTAGGAATTGGCAAACTTTTAAATTCTAGACGGAGTGGCAGAATAGGCCCTCAAGGAGGGAATGGACTTTATTTATTCTTGGTGAGTTCCAAATGCACAAAAATAAAGGGCTTGCCAGTTGCCAGTGGGAAGTGAACATAATTATGACTTCACAGCTGCTTCTAAAGTAAAAGGAGAGAAAAAAGGAAGAGTCATGCTTTTTTTTTTTTGTACTGTATCTAAAAAGAATATGCACAAAGGGAATATATTTATGCCAGATATAAGAAGCCATAAAGTAATACTGTACTACCAAACTTATGCCAAGACTTTCAGAAATCTTGACTTGGTGGACTGCAAATCAGAGATATGCATCTATACTACTCTAGCAATTAGAGCAATGTATGGAAAATTGAGTTCCTCAAATATTTTCCCACTAGCTTGTTTCCCCTGATGCAAGTGGAGTGATCTTTCAGCCAAATTGTCGTCATCTACTTTACTGGTCTGACATTTGCAAAGCTCTGTTCAGAGAATTTAAAACGTGATGGATCTGACTCTATAGTGTGTGGTCTCAAGAAATGGCTTTTGGAAAGTTTTGTTTGGGACCTTGAAAATTATCCTGCATACATGCTATGAGATTCTCAAGATAACTAGTTACATCTGCCAGGGCTGATATGTTGTTTAATGTAGAACAGTTGTTGACAAATTTTTATGTAAATAGTGAAGTTGTAAATATTGCAGACTTTGTGGGCCATATAGTCTCTATCCCAGCTAGTCAACTGTGCCATTGTTGCATGAAAACAGCCTAGATAATATTTAAATGAGCAAGCAAGACTGTATTCAAATAAAACCTTACTTACAATAACAGAGAGCAGGTGGATTTGGTTCTAGACCATCGTTTGCAGACTCTTGATCTACAAAGTTCTAGTCATAAAGCTGGACTTGCTAAAGCCAAATAGTTATGGGAATCTTTACCAAAACAGAGGTCTTTTGTTAATGCCAGTAGAGCTTTTAAGGATAATTTAAACATATGGATATTTTCCTCAAGATGTTTTGTCAATTACTAGTGGAAAGAAGGACACCAGCAAAGAGCAGTCCCTTACCAAAAACACTGCAAAAATACTTTGGTTACTTGCTTCCTTACAAAATCATTATATCATGCAACTGCATACAGGAACTTAGATTGAACACAAAGCTCCAAATATTTTTATCTCTACTGATCCCTAGCAGATGTAACAGAAAGAAAAGATGAACAGTCAACCTGATTTCAATATAGATATTTTGTGGCAGCGAGAAAGGAGATGCCAGTTGAATCGGAATTATTTGTGAATCTGCTTGAGGCAGCCTCATGAAAAAAAAAAATAATCTTTTAGTCTGCCTCCTACATTCAGAGGCTACCTTAACTTCTGAAGAAATGTTAAATTATCTGAGGGATAACTCTAGGTGAGTCAAGGGTGATACCTTTCCCTGGGTCTTCCAGTAATCTGCCATTGACCTCTATATGCCACTTAACTTCCATTTGATCTATTTCCCAATTTATAAAATAAAGGAGAATAAAGAGATGTCTATAAAGTGGTTTAAAAGCCTGAGTGAAAGGCCATCTGAAACATAGGATGGCTGAATTTCAAAGAGTCAGGAGGACACTTTGGCTATTGAGAATACATGTTAAATCATATAAGTGGACACAATAGTATTCTTGTGAATGCCACATTACTCAGCAGTATTCCAGAGGGTCAAATAGATAAGGAGGACATGAAAGTTTAATATTCAAGTTAAGCCTTTTAATTAAAATATATATGAGAAAAATATATAGAAGGAATGCATTTTGAATTGAAAGTTGTTATTTTGTGATGTCAACATAGGAACATAGACAAAAATTCACCTAGACATTTTTCAAAGGCTCTTTTATATATAATCGAGGTACTCCAGTTTTTTATTTTTACAATATGTTTTAGCTACTTTTAGTCTTACTGTATTTTTTATATACTTCTCTTTCTATTGTTATAAGACCCAAAGTTAATGTCATAGAAGCAGCATAAGGTGGTAGAATTGTGCTGTGCTGAGTGTTAGAATCTTTGCTTTCTCTGACTTCATTTTTTCCACTAGTAAAGGCGATAATAAGAAGCTTTCAATTCTTTTAGGAGATTAAACGAGGTATTGAATGACAAAGTAGGTGCTTAACAGTTATAGATGTTCAGTAGTCAAGACTCAAATTTGAGTTTGAAGGATGCTGATTCTGAGATACTCAGGCTTGGTTAATTTCTCTATTAGGAAAGAGAAAAGGTATAATTAATTGCAGTTTTCCCAACGAAGAGAGCATTGGCATGACAATTTTCACTGTATATTAATGATGTCATTGCAAGGTATTTACCATTTTTATCCCCATCCCCAAATGCCAGTAGCCTCCTGCTGTGGTCAGAGAATATTCTTTCATTTTTCTAAATACAGTCAGCCCTCTGCATCCCTTGGTTCCACATGGTTCAAACAACCATGGCTTGAAAATATTAGAAAATTTTGCATCTATATGAACATGTATAGACTATTTGTTTCTTGTCATTATTCCCTAAACAATACAGTGCAACAAATATTCACATAGAATTTACATGTATTAGGTATTAAAAGTATTCTAGAGGTGATTTAAAGGAAAGGGGAGAATGTGTATAGGTTATATGCAAATACTATACCTTTTTTATGTCGGGGACTTGAGCAACCATGGATTTTGGTATCCAAGGGAGGTGCTGGAACCATGCCCTCATAGAGACCAAGGCACAACTGTTACCTCTTTAGGAGGGGTCAATACAAAAACTGGATGATCATCTAAAACACTTGTGAATTCAGCGGGCAAAGTATTATTTTGGCATTAGAAAACTTGCTGGCATACCTGAACTCTCCTCAATGACCTGGGATCTGCTTAGAGACTAGGGCAGAGAATAAGATGGAAATTTTACAAATTAAAGTCAATACTCAAAAATAACTAATGATCAAAAGGATCCACATTTTCCACTGCCACTCACACCCCTACCTGGTTCAGCAACATAGAGCCATGGCAAAATGGTCACAAGTCCCTATATCTCACTAATGACAGAGACTCAAAGGAAGCCTGGCAGCTTAGGGCTGGTGACAGGCTATCAGAGTTGGAGGGCCCATCGTTTGCTGATTGACTTTAGATGAGCTTCTTTACAAACGAGGGGTACATAGGAGGTTGTGGGTCAGAATCAAAAGGAAGTTCTCTTGCTCTATGTAGAGAGGTGTGTTGTTTATCAAAGGAGAAGAAGAGAAGGAAAGACGATTGGATTTAGAAGATTATTTAATTGTATGAAACAACTGTAGAAGTATTGAAGTTTTTGTCCCATTTAATAGATGGTAAAAATAAGATGGTTTTAGTGCTCATACTGCTTCAGGGTGGGTACAGGGGAAGATTTGATTAAGAATTTATGAATAAATTTTTCTTTCACCTGATTATTTTGATTCTACCATGAATAAGCTGAGAATCGCTTAGGAGAATCTGTGCAGGCTGCCTTGAAACAGAAATGCAAGACTGATTGGTCTAGGGAAAAATATGCCAGCTGCCTGTACTAACAGCACCCATTCATTGGGATTTTAGTATGTACAATGTTATTGTGTAACTGAGTCTTTATTATAAGAATCATAAGATGTTTGTTTTGCTTAGTTTTATTTTTTCCTTGCCTTTTTCTGCCTCCATGCATTCTTGCTTGCACATAGTCATTTTGGTAGAAGTAGTCACCGGTAATTGACTGACTTCATATCCTTACATCCCTGGCCTGCAAGACTGATAAACTGTGTGTTTGTATATATGTGTGTGTGTTTATATATATATGTGTGTATGTGTGTGTGTGTGTTTTTTTTTTTTTTTTTGGAGAAGAAAAATGAATCTTAGGTCACAGAAACCTTGATGACATCCAGAAGTTTGATCAGGTCAAGAGATACAGACAGCTTTGGTTTTCGGGGTATCCCATCTCCTGCATACCTACCTGACTCGTAGAAGGCGCCACTTATGTGTAAAGGAAGGTTGGACTTGAGAGACTGTCTTTCCTGCCCTCTCACTTTGGCCAAATTGAATAAACCTTTATGCTGATGTGTCAATGTTTGGCTTACTGTGCATCAGGTATGTGAACCTAAATTTTGACGTTAGATAACAATTATCCAAAGCATTTTATATACTTAGTCCTTCTACTCTGCACAATAAATCCATAAGGTTGATATTTTCATTATCATCTCCATCTTCAGATGAAGACATAGAACTTGTAATGCCAAATACCTTATTGAAATCACAGAGTCAATAAGAGAAAGAAGCTGGAATTGAACCAGGGCTCCTTACTCAGGGATCATACCTAGCCTGGTGGGAGTGCTAGAGAAGGAGGGCAGAAAGGCAAGTCCCATGCGAGCAGAGCGGAGTGATTCCAGGATGGATCAATTGGCATCCATAGGACTTCTTGAGATGCTGAATGCAGAGGCCTTGAGAAGCCCACACTTTCTAGATTATGTACATCATGCCCAGACCCAGTGGATATCTATTTAGTTTTGATTAAAACCCTCCCTTCTCTAGAAAGGGAATGTGAGTCTGTATCACCTACAATCAGACAAATCAACAGATGAGATTATCTGCATGGCCCTTTAAGGAACCTTCCCCACCTCCCTACTCTGTTATACTCTACCTACAAGATGAGAATTTCAAAGGAACATCGTTTCCCCTTGACTCAGACAGATAAAAGAAATCTGACTCCTAGTCACCAGGAAACAAGAAGTCTCCTCCACAGTCTTTTGACCTTTTGTTGCTCCAAGAAGGCCCACATGTCTCTGCTTTGCCTCTTGAGGCCATTCAACCCATTTCGATCCTTTATATAACTGCTAAACATAGACACTGAAATGAAGAAATACAGCCTAAATAAAGACACCAATAACAGCTTGCAGGAAGTATTAAAAACAGTTCTGCAGAAGGTTAGGAGCCAAGGCTTTTTCTACTGTGAACTTTAGAGTTTCTCTCTTTGGTCAGCCACAAATTTACTTCACTACAGGTATGAGATTAGAAATTTTGAAGACCATTGCACACAATTTTCACAGTGGATCAGCCAGAAGTTGTTAAGCAAAGAGAATCGTGAAACCATAATATACTGAGATGACAGAGGGGGCTCATGAGTGTTCCTGCTTCCATGCTCTGTGGGCCAGCCACCGGCAGCAGCCACTGTTTGTGGCATCCCTAACTTGATTATGTGGGTTGTGCCTGTTGAGGGAGTGCTAAGAGGAGAAATCTACAGAAAAGCCATGAACTAGGTGGTTGAACCAAGTGAGCAAAATAGACAAGAACTTCAGATGCAGGAAATCTCCTTCCAGAGGCAGGTGTTTTTGGGTCCCTGACTTCTTCTCAAATTAGCCACCATGATATCAGAGCTTTCACACCAAGCTAGTATAGTATGGTGGCTAAGCCCGGGACTTCTGTAGATAAGTAGAGCTCAATCTAATCTCTGACTCCATATGGACTAATTGTGAGGTCATTGGAAAATCACTTTAGCTCATTAAGTTACAGTTTCCTATTCCGTAAATTGGAATTAACATTAGTACTTACTATCTAGGGTTGCTATGAAGACTAAATACTTAACACAAGGTCTGGACCATAGTGAATACTTCATTCATGGGAGTCATTGTTATTGAGAAGCTTTCTATGTGTACATCACTGTTCAGAGAACTGGGTACATATTAAAGTAAAAAGCCTATGGTTTAGTCCTAGGATGCATATAATCTAGCTGGATTGACAAAAAAAGTACGTGCACAGAAAAGTTAAATAATATAAAGGAGCATACAAAAAAATGTTAACTGTGCAGCATGGATGATAAGTGCTTTATTCATTCATTCATTCATTAGTAAAACACACACTGAAGACTTCCTGTTTTGAAGCAATGTGATAAGCACTGAGAAGGGTAGCAGAGCTTAATCCCATAGGAATTATTGCATGAAAAGTAGTATTGTTATCTTGAAGTTTGCTTATGGGAAAACTGAGACTTAGACACAAAAAAGGAGCATCTTCAAGTTCTCACTAGTAGTAAGTTAACAAGGTTGGGATTGCAACCCAGACCTGCCTGACCCCAAAACTCATGATCTTATAGAGCAGTTGTTAAGAGAATAGAATCTACAGTCAGAGAATCTGGGCTCAATCCTGACTCTGCCAATCATTAGTTTTGTGATCTTAGTTAAGTTACTTAAATTCTCTGGACCAGAGTGTCCTCATCTGTAAAGTGAAGGTAAAATATTAGTGTCTACTTCATGTGGGTTTTGTGATGATTAAATGATGATGAGTTAATCTATTTAAAAATGTATCAGTGCCTGGAACACTATCAGCACTGTAAATATAAACTCTTATTATTGTAATAGTGAACATTATAAATTATTACTATCTTAACTGAGCTATGGCATGTGAAATGTTTAGAACATTGGTACATAATAAACATGCAGTAATTAGCTGTAATAATAATTATTATAATTATAAAGAGAAGGTTAGTCAAAGGCGGCTATTTTATATCAGGGACTTAAGCAACCACTGATTTTGGTATCTGCAGGAGGTCTTGATTCATAGTCTAATCAAAATAAATAATAATAACAATAGTTATTATTATGACCTAACGAGTTACACTGCCCCTGATTGGTTTACTTGCCTTCAGTCAAAATTGTCATTTTCTGCTCCTAAACTTCCAAACTATTTCACTCCTGTCAATGGTATCATAATACCCCCATAACACAACATTATTTAAAGAATTACTGTTTTTGTTATCTTCAACAGGTAACGAAAGAAATGCTAGGATTAGAACAGGCCTTTGTTTAATTCTAAATCACGGTGCCATTATGATAATTAATCTATGATTACATGTAAACCACTATAGGACATAGTATATGCTCAATAAAGTTGGTTATTGTTCATATAATCAGTTCATATACTTTATTTTCAATATGTCATAGGGAATAAAGTCCCATCACTTTTCCTTTAGAACGCATTTCATTTAATTCTGTCTTTCTACATACCCTAGCTGAAATCCTTGGGTGCCAGGCTTTCTATTAGGTGTAATTCATCCTGTGTACCACTGCTGTTACCTTCAACAGTTTGCTTAGACTAAGAAAACCAACACGATTTTCTGTTTTCTAACACCAACATGTCAGACACTTCTCCCCAATGGCCAACTCAACCTTTCGAACTTCTTTTACTGCTTATAGGGTCACCGTTCTGGTCAAAATTGTCTCCTCATTACCTACATGCCTTTTGTCTTATGTTGACTTTGGACAACACTCACATGCTTTCCCATTCCTTACCTGGGAGCCTTTGATTTCACTCTCTGCTGACTCAAATCTGCCTCTTCTTCAAGGATAAGATCATGTATCACCTTCTGCTTAAAGCCTGTCCTAATTAACTCCCATCAGCCCTTCCCCTCTCTGAAACCCTATAACCCTTGAATCTTCTATGCCTAATGCAGATATGATACAGGGATATGTTATGAAGAGGTTTAGTACATGGCCACCTGAGTAATATTACCTGAATTCTAACTCGGCTCTTCCTCATCTTAGGACTGGGACTTGGGCCTCAGTTTCTTCATCTGTCAAGTGGACATAACAGCAGCACCTATCTCATAGTATTATTTGTGATACTTAAATGACATAAACCATGCAAAGCACTTAGCATAGTAGTTGATGTGTGATAATCATTCAACACGTTAGCTGTTATGATGTGGTTGTTATGATGAGCACTCACCATCTGTTTGTTGAATTAATGAATTAAACTATTGATTTCCACACAGTTTTATAGTTTCCATGTTTAGACGAATAAAATAGATTGTACAAGATATCTGAGAATCCCAAAAGGATGCATAGTTACATTTACCTTTAGAATGTTGCCAGTCTTCGATGTCACAGAACACACAGGCTGATGGTTTAAATGCTCTCCTCCTCAAAGTCTGGGTTTTTTTCTCTCCCACCCATCCTTATTGCCAACCACCCCTTACTTGATAAGTAGAGAAAGGAAGAGGGTTATGAAGATTTCAGGTCGCAGATGAAATGTACAAAGACAAACCCAGGGCTTCCCATATTATATTGAATATAGAGAATGCCTTAGGGAACTCTAAGAAGTTTGAAGTCATTTTCTCTTTAGAAATCGTAAAGAGGTCAGTGATTTATAATTCAGAAGAACAATGGACAGGAAAAGTTCTCTACCTGCCCGTGCAAGCCACGACTGTCTTGCGAGGCCTTCTAATGTAGTCAGAGCTTCAAAGTAGTTAACAGCTCTTTTTCCCTAACTGCCTGCTACGCTTTATCCTAGAGGCACTTCTGCTCTTCTCTGATTCCTTTTGGCTTAAAAAATTATTTTTTTCTGCCGTTCTCATTTCTCCTCTGCAATCCTCTCTTCCTTTCTTTTTCTCTTTAGTGGTCTGGCTTTGGTGCTGACCCCACCGTGCCCTCTCAAGGGCACTTAGCAGAGCTGTTGTCTCAGGCTCGGGTGTGCTCCCCATCCTCTGACCGGTAATAGAACAAAGGACAAAAGGCCATCTCTCCAAGTCACAATATCTCTTTATTGAAGCTTTGTTCTGCTGCTTTGAGCCTTTTCTCTCTGATTCACTGGCCTTGCATTTGAGCAACTTTCCCATTTCTCGCTTTTCTATTACCTCCCAATTCTAGAATGACTAGGTTAGACTTATTGTTTTCTTGTTTCTCACTTCCAATAAATTTTTCGACACACTGATAATATCTGAGGGTTATATCAGAAGATGGAAAAATCAAATGAATGCCAATCTTCATTCCTGGGTCCCCTGCTCTCTGGCTTGGCAACTGAAATCCTGGGTCCTGCATTTTCCCTCCTAAACCACCTCCAAGATTGGCCTTCAGAGCTCTTAGGACTAGACTGGCTGGTGGAGGGAGTGGTGCTCTCAAAGGGCCTTTCTTTTTAACAAATCCTCCCTTGCTCGAATGGGGTATAGAAGCAGATTTGGAGGCTTGTGGAAATGGGGCCCATCAACAGTCAAGCATGTATCCTATTACCATTTCAGGCATTCTTTGTGGTTCCGTCATTCTGTCTGTAAGTCTCATTATTTCGTTTGTCCTTTAGCAAATACATCCCTGGTCTACCACATACCTCCTCCTCTCCATTTTTACTGCCACTGCCTTAATTCAAGTGCTATTTGTTGAAGAAGTGTTCCACCAATACTTGTGTTGGTTTCCTTGGGCTGTCACATAAAAAGTACCGTAAGGTGAAATTTATTCTCTCACAGTTCTGGAGGCTAGAACTGTGACAGGGCCTTGCTTCCTCTAAAGGCTCTATGGGAGAATCTGTTCTGTGCCCCTCTCTTAGCAGTGGTGTTGGTGACAATCCTTCACATTCTCTTGCCTGTAGCTGTGTAACCCCAAACTCTACCTTTATTGTTATGTGGCATTCTTCTCTGTCTTTTCCTTTTTTTATAAGGAAAACAGTTATATGGAATTAGGGCCCACATTAATGAAGGCATCTTAACTAGATGTCATCTGCAAAGATCCTATTTCCAAATGAAGTCACATTCACAGGTACCAAAATGTAGGGCTTCAAGATATCTCCTGGGAGGACACCATTCAACCCATCATGAAACCCTCATAGATCTCCCTGCCACCTATGTTTTCCTTCTCTAATCCACCCTCTTTATACCATCCAGTCAGCTTTCTAAAATACTCATCAGATTATTTATACTTGAATTTAAAAATTATCTGCCAACTTGCCATTTCTTTTAGATGAAATCTTTAGAATTGCATTTCGGGTCCTTTTCATTTTGGGTACTTCCCATGTTCCTTTCCAGCACACCGTGTCTTCCACTTTCATGGACCTGGCAGGGTGTATGACTTGCTCATTATGTTAGGACGTTCAAGGCCTTGTGTACATTTTTGCTTTTTTTCACCTAAGCCCCATTCTCTTTTAAAATGAATAACCCATCCTAGATTTTTTTATAATCCTTTGTTTATTCCATTTTCTTATTCGTTCTGAATTTCTCAATGCCTGGTACTTATTATATGCAAATAAATGATATTGAATAAATGATTTCAGAAAGGAATAAACAATTTGATAATGTTACAAATAGTTTTTTCTTCATCATGATCTTCATAAGTTCTAAAAACTTCATAGTTATTTGTCAATATAAATAATTTTTTGAAATATTTATACCATAATAGCTAAGAGGCAGGTTTTGGAACTGCCTGGTTCACTTAGAAGTTACGAGATTTTTTTCAGTCTTGTATTTGACCTTCCTGGTCCTTCAGTGTCTTAATCTGTTAGATGGGAACATGAATTCCTAATTAACAGAGTTATTAGAATAAAATGTATTAGATAAAAGAACAATCCTTAGGGTAGTGACTGATACAAATTAAATGGTTAATATTTATTTGTCATATTGTCTTTATAACTACTATATTTATAATATAGTTATTATATTTATATTTATGATAATATATATAAAAATACATAATAGAAATATAATTAATATTATATAACATTTATAAATATAAATATGATAGTATATAATATTGTAAATATAGTATAATAGTAGTGATATTTATTATGTTTAATAATATAATTATCTATTAAGACATATAATACTACTGTATATCTTTTTAAAAACACTTATTTTAAGTTCTTAAATTAATTGTTATTTTAAACCACATGATCAACTGTTTTTCTAGTTAATTATCTACAAGCTAAAAATCACCATTCTCAATTATAATTGAGAATATATCATTGTCTCTCTCCAACCACCTCCCGATTAAAGTATTGAATTTGTTTTATAACAAAGGTGAATCCTATGAGACAGAGGTAGATAAAGTTGGCCTTGATATGTGGCATTGGATTAAAGAATAATAGCTGTGCCGGGCGCGGTGGCTCATGCCTGTAATCCCAGCACTTTGGAAGGCTGAGGTGGGCGGATCACGAGGTCAGGAGGTTGAGACCGTCCTGACTAATTCAGTGAAAGCCCATCTCTACTAAAAATACAAAAAATTAGCCAAGTGTGGTGGCAGGTGCCTGTAGTCCCAGCTACTTCGGAGGCTGAGGCAGGAGAATCACTTGAACCTGGGAGGCGGAGGTTGCAGTGAGCCAAGGTTGCACCACTGCACTCCTGCCTGGGTGACAGAGCAAGACTCTGTCTCAAAAATAAAAAATAAAATAAAATAAAAGAATAATAGCTGTAACATGCTCTTTTTAACAATGCTGTTTGGTAACTGTTCTCTTTGGATGGGAAGCTAATGACAGCCCCTCATGTTACACTGTCTGGCATATGACTATGAAAGACACTACACCAACAGAGGACAATCTAGGAATGTGTTCTTATGTGACTGTAATAAACTTTCATTCATGAACCACTTTCACTCATGGTTACCATAGTGTGGATTCTCAACAAGTTGTATATCTGTGTAATAATAATAATTCTGAAAGCAACCTCAAAACAAAGTAATAATGGATGATGTTGACTCTCTTCCTAAATAAGCACATTTGCCTTCTGAGGCTGTAAACAAAACTTATAAATTATATGGATGGACTCTGGAAACATTTTGCATGACCATGTAGGTAGTACTCCTTCTTAGGTAGAAAACAACCAAAAGCTGCATTCACGTAGAAGATAAGATTCGGTATCTAATTTCATCAGCATTTAACATGGAGCTCATTTGGTTTTCCCAAAGAAAGAGGAGGCAGGAACTAAAAATTTGATCTTACAGTCTCTCTTTCTCTCTCTTTCTCCTTTGATGTACATTAGTTCCCATGGAAACTACATTGGGATGGCTTGAGAGTGACATCTACAAATGCAGTGTAAGGTCATTTTTATCTAATGCTTTGAAATTTAAACCATGATTTGTGATATATAGTGAAACCTCCTTAACATATTCTGAAAGACTATGAAAAGACAATATTCTGAATGCAAAAACAAGACATGTGACCACATTATGCCAGGTCTCAGAAAGTTCAGCATTGCACTTTGCATTGATAAACAGAAAGAGCTTTATTTTTCAGTTTGCCTCCAGGAGAGTCCTGGCAATGCAGTTGGCCTCCTTAATATGGAGGGAAGAAAACCCCTCATTCTACTTCCTTCCTTGTATTTTTTTTTTTTTAATAGGGTTTCACTCTTGTTGCCTCAGGCCAGAGTGCAATGGCATGATCTCGGCTCACTGCAACCTCCGCCTCCCAGGTTCAAGCGATTCTCCTACCTCAGCCTCCCAACCGAGTAGCTGGGATGACAGGCACTTGCCACCACCATGCTCTGCTAATTTTTGTATCATTAGTAGAGACAGGGTTTCGCCATGTTGGCCAGGCTGGTCTCTAACTCCTGACCTCAGGTGATACACCTGCTTAGGCCTCCCAAAGTGCTGGGATTACAGGTGTACTGCACTGGCTTTTTGTTGTTGTTGTTGTTTTGAGATGGAATCTCATTTTATCGCCCAGGCTGGAGTGCCATGGTATGATCTTGGCTCACTGCAACCTCCGCCACCCGGGTTCAAGTGATTCTCCTGCCTCAGCCTCCCAAGTAGCTGGAATTACAGACATGCGCCACCAAGCCCGGATAATTTTTGTATTTTTAGTAGAGATGGAGTTTCACCATGTTGGTCAGGCTGGTCTTGAACTCCTGATCTCAGGTGATCCGCCCTTCTCGGCCTCCCAAAATGCTGGGATTGCAGGCGTGAGCCACTATGCCCAGCCTCCTTCCTTGTTGCTGGAGCCAGCGAGGCCACCAGATAAGGGACAAGGGTTTAAGGCTTTAAATGCTGCAATAAGTAACTGCATGAGGACTGTGATAAAGCTGCAGGGGTTTTCTTGCTTCTACGGTTCCTACTAGCACTCTTGGCCTGTCTTCCTTAGGGCACTGATGTGATTTCCTTTATTAATTTGCCAGAGCTTCACCTATAACTTCCAGGTATATTCGAAGGGAGATACATTTCTAAAGGAAGAAACTGGAGCCTTGGGCTCCAAATGACTTGAGGTTTAATGGAATATGATCAGCTTAGGCTTCTAATGTACTCTCCAGTGAAGAAAAGTGTAGATGCTGAGTAGGGAGGTATGGAATCAAATCTTTACTCATTTCTTTTCTAGCTATGTGTCTTTAGCAAGTCAAAACTTTTCTAAGCGTTACTGTACTGATCTGAGGAATGCTGTCAAATTTTAAATGGGTGAACATGAGAAAAGGGAATAATGTATAAGAAAGTGTTTAGTACTAGCTACATGCTGGGAACTCATTACAATTGTGTTGCGTAAATGAACTTTGTTTATATGTAACTTTGTTCTCATCAAAATGCTTTATAAGGAAAGTTGTGAAAATAGCTATCGCTTATCTCAGGTCATAGTTAAATGTGGGTCAAATGGCTGTCTCTTCAGTTTACAGTCACCATCTGGAATATGTGGGCTGTAAGATCAGTTTTGGCAGCAAAAGAGAGGCCAGGAGGAGGCACCTGGGTTCCTGCATCACCTCCATTCTGGCTATAATGGCCTAACTGCAAGGTTAG